ATTATTATTATTATTATTATTATTATTATTATTATTATTAAGTTTTAAACAGCTCCTAGGGTGCCCACTTGTTCAGAGCTAGAATGAAGAGGCATTCCCTTTTTACTACAGAGTTGTTTTACAAATCAATGTGTTCTCAGATCTTTTCTTATCAGAAGACCTTTACATCACCCAGACTTCTAACATTGTCCATGGATCTGTAACAGAAGGCTGTATCCTGTTATCTCTCATTAGCAGGTATATTTCTTTCTTCTGAGGCACCCAGTAAGCATGGCAATGTAAGAATTTGTGAGAAACACATGCTGTTATTGTAAAGATTAAGCTGAATTCACTTATCCTTGGAACATTCAGAAAAATATTGGAGGATGTACAGTGCCTTGTATAAGTATTCACCTCCCATTGATTTTTCTACATGTTATTGTGTTGCAGTATGAAACTTTTACCATGATAACATTCTGAAATATTTGTACTGTCACCCAAATGTTAAATAAACAAAAGTGGCACTTTTAGATTGCATTACTAGCTACTTGTTTGATGTGACACATTTCACTAAGCTCTCATACTAAATAGGTAGTCCACCTGTATGCAATTCCAATGCTGCATATCTCTTAAATCAAATCCATTTGTTTCTAGAAAGTCTGAGTTTGTTGAAGTGCATAAATAAACAAAGTACACCATGAAAATCAAGGAGATATCCAAAAAAGTCCAGGATGAAGTTGTGCAAATGCACCAAGCTCAGTTAGGTTATTTATTTATTTTTTTAAATCCCCAACTATGACCATTCCACAGAGCACTGGCAAGCCCATTGTTACAAAATGGAAAGAATATGCCTCAAAAGTGATGTTGCATAAAGTAGGTCATTCACACAAATCCAGTGATCTGTTACTGAAGTCTTGTATTGAGTTGAGATTTTAACTTAATTGAGTTGAGATGAATTGGTTGAGATTTTAACTGTTCTTTTTAATTGATGTACGCCACCTCGATTGCCGTGCAGAGGGGCGGGATATAAATAAAAATTATTATTATTATTATGAATCAAAGAAGCAAACAAAGAAGCTAACCTGCCTTGAATCACATTGTGGGAGAAAGGTGGAATATAAATCTTTGAAATAAATAAAAATAAAATGAACAAGAGGCCTATGGTGTTGGACAAACTGGAAAGATCTGCAGATGAAATAGGAGAAACTCCCCATGGGACAACAGTTCTATGCATGCTCCAGAAACTGGGTGTTATGGAAGAGTAAAGAGAAAGCCATTGCTGAAACAAACCTGTATCAAAGCACATTTGGAATTTGTGAAAAGACATGTTGGAGATACAGTACTCATTTCCCTGAAAATACAATCCCCACAATGAAGGGTGCTGGTGGCACCTTCATATTGTAGGGATACTTTTCCTCAGAGAAATTGGGATTGGTCAGGACTGAGGGCAAGATGGATGGACCCAAATACAGAACAATTTTAGAGAAATCTGGGGGTGAAACAGACAATCAAAATGAAACAGCTCCTGAGCACTTTGGAGGCATGGCATTTAGATGAAGCACATCTCCAAAGTGGCCAGAAGCCACACCGAAGCCATGCTCTGGTCCTTAAAACGAGCAAAAAGGAACCAGGATAAACCGACTCCTGGCAGCACCAATTGGCACTTGTGTGCATGACCCACTTTGGGAGCAGGCCTTGTGTTCAGCAGGATTCTGACCCACTTTCAGCCAGAGTGGACTCGGACCACTCTTTCAGGTCCGTATACTCCAGCCCATCTATTCCAGACTACAAGCAATCTGGGACTGTGACAAGGGTTCATCTTCTAGCATGACAATGGCCCTAAAAACAATGCCACAGTAATACTGGAATGATTCAAAAACAAGAAACTGTATGTCTTAGAACAGCTTGGTCAAATCCCAATCACAATCCAACTGAGAATCTCTGGCAAAACTTGGAAGTTAATATCCACCAGTGGTTCTCATCCAAGAAAGTCAGCATGGTGTAATGGTTTGAATGTTGGGCTATGGACCTGAAGACCAGGATTCAAATCCCTGATCAGCCATGGAGACCCACTGGATGACTTTGGACAAGTCACATTCTCTCATCCTCAGAGGAAAGCAAAAGCATCTGACTCTGAACAAATGCTTTGATTGTGAGTTCCTGAATGGCAGGGGGTTGGACTGGATGGCCCTTGTAGTCTCTTCCAACTCTATGATTCTATGAAATCTTGCCAAGAAAACTTTCAGGTCACCATAAACTGGTAATGACTTGAGGGCTCACAACAACAATAGCCTCATCCAACCTGGAGCACATTTGCCAAAATTAATGAAAGGAAACTGGAGGATCTAGATATGCAAAGCTGTTAGAGACTCACCTCCAAAAAATGCAACTGTAATTATTACCCAAAATGCTTCTATCAGGTTTTGATGCAGGTTGGTAAATACTTATACAACCAACAACTGTCAGTATTTTATTTTTATTTTTTCGTGTACAGTACTCAACGTTTGTGCCACAAAACAAATGTCTCGCACCTTTACTGTGCTGATTTTTTTCTTTACATCATGATAACAAGGCCAATTAAACCCATTTCCATTCCAGGTTGTAGCAGAACAAAAAAGGGGAGTGAAAAGGGGGTGAATACTACAATAATTCAGTATGACAAATTGTGAAACCATGTTTTAAGAAAAATGCAGACTTGATTAGCACCATTCATGTAAATGATGGGATATTTTAGTCCCAGGAAAACAAACAAATCCAAAATGATAACCTTTAGCTAAGGCTTCCTGCATTGTTGAGTGAAATTATTATTATTAAGTAAGGGGCTTAGCGTTTATATTTAAAAATGTGTATGGTAGTGATAATCTGTAGAACCATATAATGCCATTGACAATTCCTTAACAATTTGCCCAAAGCAGGTAGTATTAAGTGATAAGACTAGTGGATTTTAAACTGTCATTGACTTTACAGGGCAAAATGAAGTAAAATCTTGGTTTTAATCAGCAGTTATGCCCTGAAGCAGAAAGAGAAAAAGCCGATAAGTTGAGTATGAAGGTGCCATTACAGGAACCACTTTCCTGATTATTACTGCACTTTTGAGGGAAAAGAAACAATAAGTAGAGTTAATACTCAAAATTACCATGAAAATCCCATTCTGCCAAAAGTCGAGGGCCAGCAAGGTTACCAGTTCTCATAAGTGGACAGGGAAATTGCATAGGTAATGGGTGTAACAGATGATCTGAGCGCATTTAAGCAGATAAATTAGAGCATTAAAATTTATAGCCTACCTAAAAGTTGAGCTTCCTTAAAGAGAGGAGGGGAAAAAAACAGAAAGAAAGAGGCTGCAACCACATTCCCAAACTGTGAAGTAAATGTAGGGTACTGAAGGGCTTGTTAATTCTTAGTGCTATGGAATGGTTTGTGAGGAACTTACACCAGTGCTTAATTGGGCCCACATTGTCTAGAAAGGTAGGCAGGTATTCATTACACTCTTTTTCATACAAGAAATACTTGAGTGTTGTTTTTTTCTTCAGCAGATGTGTCATATATTTTGATATTTGCTTTGGAACTTTCTTCTGCTTGTTGTTAGAAACACCAGCAGCATCAAGGGGAAAAAAACACTGTATTTTTTTTTT